TCTAAACCTATTTTGAACTCCCTGCTGTGAATCATTCTGTTAATAGGTCTGTAACATGAAAAGCAGAATGTTGCTGCTGAGAGTGACTGAAGGGTGAAATGAGACTGAGGAGTCTTCCAAGGCTATAAATAATTTATTGGGAAGGAGATGAACCTGAAGATGTGTTGGCCCAAGAAGAAAACTTTGACCAATTATTCAGAGGTAAACGGCCTCATTTTTTTAACTTGCCACTGGTATTTCCAGAATTATTCTCTCTGCCTGCCTCCTCCCACCCAATTTTTGTTCCTTGCCAGAGAGGTTTCCCATTCCCATTAATGTGGGAGGACAGACTGTCCCTGCAGAGAGACATTTGTGAGCTCTTGAATTTTGTAGGAAGGAAGCAAGCTCCCATTTGCCCTTTTATCCTTTCCTGCCAAACTGATTAGGACACTGAAACCCTTTAGACCTGTGGGCAGTCCTCCCCATTAGACACAGCTTCAACAGTACTGTTTTTAAGCACCACTGGGCTGTGATATTTTTTAACTAGCAAAATGATAATATTGATGACAGGTGAATAATGATAGGAATGGTAATTCAGCAGGTTGCTCTGCTGGTTCTTGCTATTTTACAGTGACCATAAAAAGGGTTGTAGAAATAGTTGTCAGTCTTTTGGATTCTGCACTAATGCTTGAAAATGCAAACAGTAGGGCTAAAAATCCAAGGTAGGTGAAATTCATTAGTTTACTTTTTTTAGTGTTTAAAGTAATTTTACATATTTTGTATAACAGATTCATTAATCTAAGTTCACGCGAACATCAATATTGAGAAGATGTCTATTATACCAAAGTATAATTCATGACGATGGATGGGAACTACAGCAAAAATTATTTTCATAGTTCTCTGTATCTATCATGATTAGCCAAATTAAATGTCTATTAAACATTTAGAGGCAGTTCAACTCCATTTAAAAAAAAGGAACAATCCTGCAACTGGTAATACTTCTAAAACCTGAAACAACTTTTGTAACGCATCTATTTTATTCGAGACTCTTTTGTTTAGCAGTCAAAATGGCCACCCTGTAAAATCCTCATTAAAACTGATCAATCCTTTGTTTTGCCTGTTACTTATTCCATTTCTGCATCATTTCACATACAATACACAGAATTATAAACTGGCACTTGAAATAGCTGGAGAAACATTTTGGATTAACCCATGCTCTCCTGAAAAGAAGGTAGCAGGTACAATTAAATTGACAGAATAAAAGAAGTGGTTGAACGCAGCTGATTTTTTTCCTATCACCCCGGTATTAGTACAGGAACTTTATCAAATGTACTCTTGAGTTTGAGAACAAATCCCAAATAGTGTCCATTCATGAATATTTATACAGCACAGCAGGTCATGAATGGGTGCTGCCCCGACTTGCTCTTAAGCTCAATCCATGTATCTGCTAAAGTGCACAAACGCTCTTTTGATTTAACAAACAGAAAAGGAGCAATACCGCAAACTAGGCTGCTGCCAGGCTTCCCCAAGATTGTTCTGATCATTACCTACCTTTAAAGGCTTCATACAAAATTCTTACACTTTGTTTTGCAGGTATCAGTGTGAAATATGCAAGCAGCTTGTGGAAACAGTTATTGGGCTGATGTCCCTTTTAAAATCTGTCAGCAAGAAGGGGTTAAATCTTGCTTTTCTCTGTTTATGAATTGTAACGCCGCTAGAAACCTTATGTCCTCTAACATCGTACTAGGGCAGAACATTAGTGTATGTACTCCTATCGGACACGTCAGCACAATGCTCTGAAGTATTTTGGGATATCCTTGTTAGTTCCTTATGTAACCGTACGACCTCACTTTCTGAAATCATGTCCCAAGGCACATAGCAGGAGGTACAGCTGTGTCCTACTTCATGCCACCTCCAAGAATATTGAGTTTTGGAGCATTAGCAAGGCTTGTAAAAATACAAAGCAATATCTTACAAAAGAAAAATACATTAAAAAAAAAAAAAGAAGAGAAATTGTGCTCACCTGCTCACCAGCCTGGGATTCCCCTATGATGAATCGATCTCCAGGGCCATCAGCAGCTGTTAAGATGGACAATACAAGTGATAAAGGCTGAACCAAAACAAATGATGGCATTAGAAATTAAGGAGAGGAGAACCAAAGCATGATCTAAGATTCAGTTCTTCAGTGTCAGCATGACAAAGGTTATAGAAGTTTTGCAAACATTTCACATTTTAAGTCCTTTTAAGCTGTGTTTATTATTCTGAAAATTACAGGTTCTACACTATTTTTAACTGAAAATTTCTGGGCAACATGGGATCAAGTAAAAGGAGGTTAGGAGGAATTACATTAATAACAAAGATTTAAGAGTGTTCATGAGATTATTTTTATAAAAATGTCCACTGCGAGCATATCTTTCATGTGAAACTAACACAGGGGAATCACATATTTTATAAGTGTATTACGTATCTTTTTTCTAGACAACGATGGAATATTGACATTTCTAGATTCTACCTCTGCCTTTGGAGGAAAACGTGGACAAGGGAAGTGGTTACAGACTGTGTAGAAGACCATACAGGTTTGGCATTTTCTGAAGAGCACTAGGGCTAAGATAATGCAACTTGGACTGCTACATTAGAAGTCTGGGTTCTGTTCCTTTTTGTAATTTTAGGAGGTAGCACTGAACTAGTTACCTTATACCTTTCACTGAAGCCATTCTGAAAATTGAAAGTCAGACAACATTGATTTAACAAACTGAAAGTCTCCAGGACTTCTAATTTAGCAAAATCTGTATTTTTCCAGGGACAACAAAGGCACCATTACTAATGAAGTTTAAGCTTCTGCCTGCCTCAAAGGTTTTCAACAAGTTGCATTAGTGGTATTACAGGCTCTACTATGGTGTAAAGCATGTATAAGCAACTCTGCCTGCCCAAGCACAGCAGGCATGCTGTCAAGAATGTTCAGGCAAACTGGGTTCATACGATCACATTTAAAGATGTCTTTTTATTAATTTTAAATCTGTAACTGTCAAAAGTTGATTCCCCAGAGATGAAGCCTAATCAGTGACAACCTTTATCTTAATACCTTCTTCTTTATTTCAAAAGCCCTGAATATACAGCTAGATAACCTTGTCATCTTGAGAAGAGCTGCTTTCAGGAAGGATGCCCATTCAGTCTGTATAATGATTTATTACATTTGTACTCATACATCAGCTGCAACTCTGCAGATGATGATCTATGGTACTTAGTCATGTTTGAAGACTAATGATCAACTTACTTTAAAAGCCTATCAAACAGCCTAATCTATGAGCTTTAGAACAACCTCTAAAATAAGAAAGTGGAAAAGGACTTTTCAGCTACTCATCTTTGAATAATGCATATAATACTACTGAATACAGTTGTCAGACCTTCACTGAAAAAAATGCACTGGGATGATCCAGCAAAAGAAGAGAAAAAAATTCCCTAATAGCTAAATTATTTTAAACCTGATAAAATGCTACTGAATCAGATTTCATTCCCCCATTAGTAATGATACGGAGACAAAGTTTATAGGTGATGTACAACTGATATAGCTTGAAAAAAGCGGACAAGGTTTTGGGGCAGACAGGTTTATGTGACTGAAAGCTAATCCTTTATTTTTTTGTAAAAAATATCCGTTAATGTAGTCAATACTATTTCTGCCTACAAGCTTTGTTTCTCATGTCCTGAGATAACAGGTCTACAAGAAGAATAGAATAGAATAGAATAGAATAGAATAGAATAGAATAGAATAGAATAGAATAGAATAGAATAGAATAGAATAGAATAGAATAGAATAGAATAGAATAGAATAGAATAGAATAGAATAGAATAGAATAGAATAGAATAGAATAGAATAGAATAGAATAGAATAGAATAGAATAGAATAGAATAGAATAGAATAGAATAGAATAGAATAGAATAGAATAGAATAGAATAGAATATTTCCGTTGGAAGGGACCTACAGCAATCATCTAGTCCAACTGTGTGACCACTTCAGGGCTGACCAAAAGTTAAAGCAAATTATTAAGGGCATTGTCCAAATGCCTCTTAAACACTGACAGGCATGGGGCATCGACCACCTCTCTAGCAAGCCTGTTCCAGTCCTTGACCACCCTCTCAGTAAAGAAATGCTTCCTAATGTCCAGTCTAAACCTCCCCTGGCGCAGCTTTGAACCATTCCCACGTGTCCTATCACTGGATACCTGGGAGAAGAGATCAGCACCTCCCTCTCCACTTCCCCTCCCCAGGAAGCTGCAGCAGAGAGCAGGGTCGCCCCTCAGCCTCCTTTTCTCCAAGCTAGACAAACCCAAAGTCCTTAGCTGCTCCTCACAGGACATTCCTTCCAGCCGTTTCACCAGCTTTGTTGCCCTCCTCTTGACGCATTCAAGTACCTTACTGTTACTCTATTTGAATGCACCACCAAAATTAGGGTCTTGTGTGTTGGTTCTGACAGAAGTTGTTGAAGACAGCGTTCATGATCATTCCGCTCATTCTGCTGAGATGTACAATCTCTCATTTACTGAGATTGTGCTTGTACTTTCCCTTACTTTGTAGCAATCAAGTTGCAAGACAGCATTTGCTTGATCCCAAAGCCCTTGTCAGTCAGCATTCTACTCAGAGCTCCCCCTCTCAGCTTTTCTCAGCGTTATATTACCTGTATTTCTCTGGTTATATCTGCGCTCCCTTGCCACTATTACTGGTCATTTTGGTCTGCCTGTCTCTCACACACATAGATGACAGACAGCTGCAGCCAAACCCATCTTGTAGACCTGGAATTTTATTTTTATATCAAATCCATGGGGAAGCTATTGGACTACATCCATTGCCTGGATTTGCAGACAGTCTATTTCACGGACAGTTGCTTTCCATTGTTTCAGCTGCCAGTAACAAAAAAGATATTTTAATGTCCCTAGAAGAAAGTTGGCTATTGTGTCCAAACTTCAACATGGTGTTACGATGATTCAACCCCTACCACAATGAAATCACTACTAGTATAACGTTCAATCATATATATTTTAATTTCCTCCATAGATATCTGAGGTGGACATCATCAGTCTTACTTTACAAAGGGAAAAACTGATGCACAGAGAAGCAACTTGCTCAAAATCATGCAGCACCTAGTGGCAAAGCAGAAGATGGACTCAGGTCTCCTGGGAAACCACTCACTTCTTGCTCTGTAAAGTCACACTACTCGTTTTATTTTTATACAGCAACTGCAATATTTTCAAAGTAAAAATGAGCTTTTCTTTTGAGGTGCCTCCATAAGAGTACATTCTGATACGTATTTTTGAAAATTCTCTAATGCAATGATAAACTAATTCACAAATAGGAAGCTGGATCTGTGACAGTCCAAAAAGTAACAGATATGTAAGAAATTCCTGATTAAATCAACAACAGAGGAATAGAAGAAGAATCTGTCATTCAGAAACAGATGTTCTGTTACTCTCCCGAATTTCCAAGAAACTCACTAGCAACTCAGGTGCATATCTATGAGCACACATGGACGTACGTTTGCTCATGTACATATGTATCCACTTAAAAGATCTGAATTCAACTTTACGATCTTCCTTCAAGATAGCTGCATTCTACGTAACTGTGACTTCAGCAATGATCTGAATCAAATCTCAACCAAAATAACCATTGCTGGATCCAAAACAGGTGAACTACCATGTTATAAAGTGGTTTTACAGACACAATATTGCATGTCTACAAAGTGAGTGTTTACCTCTGACAGCGTAGCCGTCTTTTACTGATGCTGGAAATGGTGGTAGATTATCTTTTGCATATACATCTTGAGCAAGGACTCGGCCCATTCCATCTAGAAAAGAGAAAAGAGAAAAGACCGTGCTCCATATCATTACAGCTAGTGAAAGGGAAAAGAAGTGAACAGCAGTGTGCTCTGATGGATGAAATGTGTGTGTATGTGACATGAACAGATCTCTCAGGTTTTTGATTTCTGCCTCTACATAAATGAAAAAAGACTGGAGTCTGAAAGTACTGATGAAAGATTTGTTCAGTCAGTCTGTGTTCCTGGTTATGATGAAATTGTTGACAGTATACCTGAATGCCAAGTATCCAAACCCAGAGGTAATAGCTCTGATATAGGATCAGACAGAAAAAAAAAAGTATTTGTTTCTTCAGGACTTTTTCTCCTGAAATCTCTTAAAAACACATACTTTCCTGTATTTCAATTTTTAAAAAAAAGTTCTTTTTTTAAAAGCTTTTAAAATAACATTTCAAAAGTAAATCCCATGTGCAAAAGGTGAGAGGTGATGGATTGAGCCCAGAGGACTCAACATTAACAGTAATGATGGACAAGTTTCCATAAATTGACAAAGAAGTTTTGCAATAGATTAGCTTTGCCTAATTGCTGAGAGCATTTCTGCTTAATGGAGGGTGAATGCACATAAGTGTCAGGATTATTTATGTAAATTTACGCTGTTATAGTTCTAAATATTTTAATAGCTGTTTCAAACATACTCAAAAAAATAGCAACTATGACTGATGAGTTGTAATTTGACTCTGCCTCCCTGTAGAGACTGATATGAATTACTTCATCCTCAGTCAAGTGTGCACTACTTGCTTGCTTTTACGGCGCCAGCAAGAGGTTTTTTTAGTATGATGTGGAACAGAGTGGAAAATATGTATCTTATGCCTTCGTACAGTGGGAGAGTGAGAAAGAAGATTTATTATATGTGTGATTAGATGGACTAGGAAGGGGCATACGGGTCAGAACTACTGAGATTGGCTTGATTCCAGTATGTCTAAGTAGAAGGGAAGCTCATCTCATAATAGAGGCCATCGCTCTTAGGAGTGTGTTGTGGCACAAGAAGGCAATATCCAGCTGAAAGTATGAAGGAATGAGAGGATGCATGAATACTTCTACCTGGAGAATTTGCATGGATATGTACTTTATAGATTATGATCTTTCAGACACACCAAAAAAGAGAGACATACGTAAAGTGTGTTTCTTGTTTTACAGATAGGGAAATCGATGTGGTTCTGGATTTGCTGGCAAGGCAGAAGACCTAACATTGCACACTAAATGGATAGGTTTTGTTAAAAAGTGCACCTACTTGATTTGTAAATGTTCAGCTCCAGTGAAGTGGTATTATAACGGAGATTATATTTTACTTATTAACACAAAGGGATTTAGTTAGTAATTAATTATAAATATAATAACTATAACATCATTGTGCCCACACCCATATGTATCAACTTGCAGCCTGAGGTGAATATTTATGTTGCATTTTTGAAATAGGTGTTGCCATGAAAATGCTGATAAAACCTGTTAAAGCAGCTAGAAAAGCACCTTTGTGATGGCTATTAATACGTCTGTGCATCACTGCGTATCACTGTCTGTGATACACAATATAGAAGTTATTAGAAAGCTCACGAAAGCTTGTACACTTGCACTGAAAAAAAGAATGCAGACATAGACATTTAAATTATAGCATAGAAAAGGCAGCTATCAAAGGCCTAGTAAAAACACCCTCTGTTCATAGACGCACAAAATCTCATACAAAAGTGATGCTTCTAATTTTAGCAGGTATGTTGTGTCTTCTTTTTACTTCTTGTCTGCATGCAAAATCACACCAATTAGAGCAAAGTTGAACAGTATGTTCCTGGCATTCTGCCATGCAATATTTGAAGGGAATAAATGGCCAGCCAGTAGCGGGAATGAATTTCATTAAGGGGAGAAAAATGTAAGAATTATTTGCTGAAGCCTTAGGCATTTAAAATGAAGCAAGTCAGCAACTAAAGGACAACCTGAAGTACCTCTGTACTCTCCTTTATTTGAGCAATTATTTTAGAAATACACTCTTTGACCTTATTTTGATTAATTGTAATTCAAAAAAGATGTTATGAAATATTTTCATGTCATCAAACTGTCCCTTGTGATGCCCATAGCCTTCCGATTCTAACACAAAATGGAGAACTACATTAAACTCACTTTCAAAATTTGGGTATTTTCTAAAGCTTAGCTGGTGAAACTGGTGCTGTTCTGTGAAGAATTTTGATTTCGCAGTGTATTGGTACTGGGATAAAGCAGTGAGACAGGTATTGTACTAAAGGAGATGGATTTGCTCCCATTTTGTAAATATTGCCCTGGTAGCACTTCAGTGTGATATGAAAAGGCAGTTCTATCAAAATAATCAGCTAGTTCAAAATGAATAAGCACTGGAAAAAAATGTCCAAGCTCTACAGAAGTTACAGGGCTCTTGGGCCAGATCAGAAAAACTGCCCCGTTCTGAGGCTTAAGCCCATGAAGTGTGGATTGCCTTTGCTTTGTACTTTTAGTATCAATTAAACTTCTGCCTCTTCTTAGTTTCAGAAGAATAATCATTATCTTGCTGTCTAAAAACTTAACCTTATGTACCCATGGAGCAACGTTCAGGTAGCTGCATTTAGCTGGAATAAAAGGCTAACTGGGGGCTTCATACCAGATATTGATGATGGCAGGTGGGAAATATGCTTCAGATGCCTTTGGTTTATGGCACTTCTGTAAAATGTTTTAAGACTGTCCATTTTTTTTTTTTTTAATATGGAAGAGGCTAAATGATCTATACAGGCACTGAGCAATACACTTACCAATGTGAAAGTCATGTTTCAAAAGATAACTTTACTCATCCTCCCCCTTATGTTAGGAGAGAATAGATTTGAGAGACTACAGCATGCCTTGACTTAATCAAGAATAAAGTCAGGACTGTACTGGCTACTTGTACAGAGTAACATTCAGCAGCTTTATGTATGAGGATGAATAGTGTGTAATATGTTTAGTAGTGTAAATAAATCAGGCAAAATTAATTAGGTAATTTGTTAATGAAATAAATTGCCATCCTAGAACTTTAAACATTTCACTTTCCTTACAGAGAAATTGTGCTCCTGAAAGATAATTTTCAGGAGCTCAGTGTTAATTCAAGACACAAAACCACAAAGAAAACAAACACAGCACAATAGTGCTTTTCTGAATACAGTTAGGATTCAGATCTCCAGGACTACATTTTTATTATCTCCTGAAATTACAGGTATATTAACTGAAAAATGAATACATAACTAAATGAAAAACTGGTTCTTAATTAATTGTATTCTTCAAAATCAACATTTTTTAGCAAATTAACATATATATGTGTGCATGCATGTACACACACACATATACATACATATGCCTATACAAAAAAACTCCTATATATTTGTCTGTGTAACACTACGGTGATCACTTAAGAACTTCTGAAAATGAGATTCTATCTTGAGATTTGTATCTGTAGATTAAGAGAATTGAATTTCCAGTATCACAGACACAGATGTGTCCTTTAGGATGTCTCCTAAAGGCTCAATCCTGAAATTTCATACTATGTATTAGGAAATCTTACAGTGCTAAAATAAGTGTATACACTTATATAAATAAGTGTATTACAGTGCAAAAATATGAAGGAATATGTCTTTGTTAATATTTTCATTGTTGGTACAATTATGTGAATATTAAACCAAGAATATATCTCTACAGCTGATGATCTTACCATGTACCTAACTCTTATTTCGGGTGGGAGAGAAAACGGTCATAACTGAAGTGTCTCAGCAGATTCAGAACATTATTTTTTAAAGAATAACAGTGCCAGGAATAAAAATCAATACGTTCCAGACTTAGAATCAGCCTGAACTTGATGTCAGTAATCAGGTAATATGGAAGAGCAAAATGAAGTAACAACTAAGATATTATAAAGTATACTAGAACACCACCTCTTACCTTGACAGCATATTCCCATGTAGTGGAATAAAACCAGAAACAATCAAATTGCCTTTTTGACGAATTAGAGTATATAAAACTCTACAGAGAATATAAGCATCTAGCTAAGACCAATTACCTCCATTCTATCTCTGTAAGGACATTTTGAAGAGCATGTAGTCTGAATAGAATCACTCTGTTATTGGTATGGTAACATTATCAGTATTAACACAGAACTGTTACTTAGTCCATATTTTGAATGTTTTTTAATATTAAAATAAATTACATGGTGAAAGCTTGTCCAAAGCATGTTGCAGCAGAAAATTATATATACTGTGATTTTGTCTGATTTCACCATAGTTCTAATGAAGAAGTTTACAAATCAGATATACGAAAAGGCTGCTACCTACTGTTGATATAAATATGTTTGCACAGAGACTGGTGTATACCTATAAATAGATGGTGATGTTATTGTTATATATATCAACATATATGTAGCATGTGAGGATTATGCTTATTCTCTGTCTACCCAGAAGAATATTTTTAGCCACATTTTATTAACTTCTAGGGAAAATATAGCTTCTGTCCAGAAACACAACGACAGCAACACAAAAGTGTTGTGAAACAGTATGTAAGTTTTCATCCAGAAGTGTAAAAGATAGAGAGATGGAGAAAAATAGTAATAAAGATAAAAGGACAAGAGAATAAGACACATTTATAGAATCAAGGACAAAAAAAGGAAAAATAACAGCTTAATACTTGTTTTTCCCTATAATCAATACAACCCAAATTCAAGAACTTATTTCTTCACTTAGTTTTGCACTAGAGGTTTAAAAAATCAAAACTATTTTTATGTAAAAAAGAATAATAATGCTACAGTACCTTAACACTACCTTATATAGCAAAATAAACATATGCTGTACTTATTTTTCAGGGAGGTACATGCCAGACTTTTATCCTTTATTTCAGGAGTTCAGTGTCATACAGATAGCATCTATTTGGACTAAATGTGCCTAACACTGTTGCTCATCATACTGTCCACAAAGGGCTGTCTTAGCAAAGACATTTAATTGACAGCTATCCAAAAAGATCTAATAGCTATACTCGGGCATTTATGCCTTCTTCTAATCTGCACACCATTATGGAAGTGCAGGGTGTAATATGCATATTCCTTGTTAATCCAGTATTGGCACTGTTCTGAATGCAGGATGTGCAGCATCTTCTCAGAGACGTGCTTCCTGCTACCAAGGCACAGGGGAGTGCTGATCTCCACTTGGACTGACTAAACACACAGGTGTGATTCTACATACAGTCCGCTAAATCAGTATGTCAATATGAAGACATCTCAAAGGTTTGTGGCAGCACAAAGATTTGGTGAAGGGCAGGAAAACTTTGAACTTTCAAGCCAGAAGACAGAATATCCCATTCAGAAACTATTTTTACCTCTCTGCTATCTGCAGTCCACCGATGTCCTAAACATTCTGGCTCTTGAGGCTCATGGTTCCACCACCTCTTCACTCACCACCTTACCTTTGGAAAATCTGGAGGAATCCCTGGAGGAGGTTTCCTCTTCCCTACCTACTTTAGGATTACTTGTCAGCATGCTTCCTGCCATGGTTTTGTTCTGTGCCAAGAACACTCTCCCAGAGAATGCCCAGGCTTGGTGTAAGGGAAAGCAGAAGCAAGGGAGACACCTAATAGGCATTATGAACACACTATTTCAGGAGGGAGGATAGTTTAGCTGAATAAACATGAGAGGTGCCCTGCTAATTCCTTTTAAGGCCAGAAAATGGCTTTACCTATCCCCATTTATTTACAAGTATAGACACAGTCACAAGGTCTGACATTTTGCCTGCTGTTTGGTGCCTTTTAAGACAACCTCACTGTATAAAACAGTTACCCTTGATTATAAAGTTTCAATAAATCACACATTAAATGCAAGTAAGTATCAGAAAAGAATCAAATGTAGTGGTAGAATAGAAAGGGAATTATGTTGCGTTTCTGGGAAGAGGAGGCAAATTCTGGAATGACTAGTAGACCAAGTAGGATCTGGAAAAACAGACTGAGACGAACTGTTAGAGATATAGACATGGCAAAAAGTGACCTGGAATCAATAATCACCTTGCTTTGATCACTAATCTCAGATTGGAGAGGGGGTTTAGTGAGAATCTCCCACAGTAAGAGAACAGAGTGAACGATCACAGTACAACTTGGAGCTACTTGGCATCTACAGAAGTCCAGTGTTAAATCAACCACTGAGGCAAACTGTGGTTTCTATGTTTCAGCTTTGTTGCATATAACACAGACCAGAAGAAAATTCATTTATATATTTAATTAGAGTTCCATTACAGATTCCTTCAGGGAGCAGCACTGAGCTCAATCAACATTCTCCTGACTTTGAAAGGTGACTTGAGCTCCTATTATTGGCATTTCCTAAAGCAGTTTCTCCTGGAGAAGGTACTGTCTCAGACACCTCACAACATTAATAAAAGAGCAAGTGCTTAAGAAGGTTGTAGAATAAGGAAATAACCACCCTAATCCTCACAAAGAATCCAACTTAAAATACCTCTGTAATTGATGATTTCCGTTCCAAGCACTGGGGTCATCTCCAGAACTGTGATGAAGGCCTTGTCCATAGATGTCAATGGGAATGGAGACATGCGGTGTCTTCTTGCTACCTTGGTAATGTCAACAGCACTGTGACCTGCAAAAAGAGAGCACCAAGTTTATGTATGCTACAATGTGTAGATGTACACAGTGATGTTCATTAAAACCACTTTACTGAAATTAATCTGGCACTTTGGGGTAAACTAAATTACTTAGTTATCACTATTGAGCATTTATGTCAGACACTGGGAAGGCATTGTATTCAACTACAACCAAAAGAGAGATTTTTAAAAAAATGCAATTTACAATTGAAAACATTCACAAAAGTATATATCCTTACTTGTCATGAAAAACATACCAGAAGTCTTGATGAGCATAAAAGGATCAGTTAATCAGAAACAGAAACCCTTCAAGATGATGCAGTATTTTACACTGAGGATGATAATCTGAGGTTAACTCAGTTCTATGAACTATGAACTCAGGACAATTCACTCCTCATTCTGTTCTCCACAAACACATCTCAATATGCTACGTGCAGTGCACAGATAAAACATAAAAATGGACACTGTCCCAGTGAGTTTGCAATCCAAGAGCGAGATGGGAGTCAAAAGGTTTGAAAGGAGGAGAGAGGGAAGCACCATGAAATCACTGGACAGTCAGGACAGCAGACAGTGTTTCCAGCTAGTGGGCATCTGACCCATTGTGAAGATTTTGTAGTCACCATAGCGAAGTGACATTTAAATGCGTAATTTGAGTGAAGGTAGTAGGATAGATTAAAGGAAGCTTACTTTTCCCAAGTATGAGGGACAGGTTGGGAGAAAATACGATAAAAGTTATTTGAAAATGAAGCCAGCAGCACGTTCGATTTCTTGATACTTACTGAGAGAGTAAACAAGGGGACAACAAGCTTTGAAGGATTTTGAGAATGAAGATAAGCAACTGAAGAGAGGGAACTATTGCAGGAATACATAAACAAGAGTAACAGATACAAACCAAAAGGTTAAGAAAATGACATTTGTAGAAATATCTGGAATGGATTTGCCTAGAACAAGAAGGTATCTATGAGATCCAAAGTGGATGATGTTCTATATGTAATATGTAATGATATTCCTAAAGCAACATATTATAATGAGATAGCATTAACAAATAATAGAAACTCATTTTTAATGACATGACTTTGCTTTGCAGTAGCTACCTAACTATCCCATTTGCTGCTGCACATGCCTTCACATTCTGGAAAAAAATTAGATTATTGCTTTAAGTGCAGTCTTCTACTAAAAAATAACTACAAAAATAGTAAAACAATCATGCAATCTAAGTTCTTCCTTTCAGAAGAGAAGGTCGCTTAATCAATCTGTATATATAAAACTTATTTCAGCACTGATGCATGCTTTCTCTCTATGTGGGAGATATTGTTCATTAGTTTATTTTTTTACCATTAACACAGTAACTATCTTTAACAGGAAGAAGTAGAGACAAATAAAACTGCCCACCTAATTCCAGTCCCAAGAAAGATTCTGGAAGAAATTATCTGAACAACCTCTTTGTATGTATTTAGAAGATAACATCATGATAAAAGCAGGCACTGCGAATTTCTCAAGAACAAATAATTTCTAACTGACTTAATTCCTTTCTTTAACATAGCAGTTGGCATACTGAGGAAGAGAGAAACAGCTGATGAGATACATTTTAACTATGTTAAGACTTTTCACACTCTTAAACATGACTTTCTCATAAGCAAACTAGGCAGAAATGATCCAAATTAAACTATTGTAAGATAAAAGTGTAACTAGTGGAAAAACTGCATTCCTGGATTCAACAACAGGGGTGTCCCTAGCAAGCTTAGATTTTCATTATGTCTGTATTTTGTTAGCAACCTCATAAAAACGAGGAAGAGGAAAGGAAAGCATTTGTGAGACACAGTCAAACTTGCCATACCTTTCTCTGCATAGAGAAAGAAATGCTGCTTAGCAGCACCGTAATTCCTGCAGGTCCAGCAGATTCCATACAATGTATGTTAAAAACTTTTTCCTGACTGTATAAATTAAGAAACTATTTTCTTAAAAGAAATAGAACAAATGAAGGAAGATGCTAGGAAAAAATATGTCACAGCAGTGAAAGCTGGGGGAATTGTGTGGCAGCAAACAACCTTTATGCTACAGCCACTAGGTGCTTTAATGTTTATGTTTTACTGCTACCTATAACTCACTGTTAGCTACTTCAGAAATTAACATTGCACCTCTTTAACCCTTAAATCATGAATGAATTCAGAGGCTTTGAATGCTTTGAATGGTGCCCAGAGTTACACACACAGCTTTGGAACTCTGTGTCTAATACACATCATTTGCTTGTCAAAGATTCTGTTAAAATCTCCTGAGAAATGCGTTCTTCAGCACAGTTTTTTTTTTGAAAATAGACAAAATCTCCTAATCTCTGACAACTTTGCTCCAACACCAAAAGTAACACCCACTATTTCTGCAAGAGAAGCCAAGAAAATACATACTCAAAAATAGAGCCCCTTCAGGTTTAACACTAGCATGAATAACCTTAATGAAGAAAGGAAGATGCATGCGTAACTACTAACCCTTCTCTCTCCCTGTTTCTTCCTACAAACAAATGCTAATTCTTCTTTTAGAGGTATCATACATTTAAACAGACCCAGAGACAAACAAAGAATGATTTTTTAAATCCTAAAATTACTAAGTGGTACTCATTAATTACAAGCATATGACATTAAACAACTCCTCAGACTTTCCCAAGTTACCTTTCACTAATGTCAAATGTCAGATGGCTCTGAAAATAACTACTTACATTAAGCAGCATTTTGTATGACAAAATAATCCTCTAGCTTTGAAGCAGCTAAGTCAATTGGTTGCATAAGGTAGAAAATTCCTGACAGCCTTCTCTCTTATCACCAAAACAACGTCCTATTCCTGTTGTTATATATATATATATACACACACACACATATGGTGGATCAAATTTTAGACTAGGAAAGATTCTCATAAAACAAAGGAAAGGAATTGTGCAAATTAAAGAACAGGTCATTTGGATCAAATCTGAATTCTTAACCTTTGCATTTTTTTGGTTTGGTTTTATGTAACCCAACATTCAATGTCATGTTCAGGTATGAAAATAAAAATCATATATATTCAACTTGAGAATTTCCGTTTTCATTGTCTTTCAGTGTTGATTCTTTTTGCCCATAAAACTTGCACACACATGATAATTGACAACAATACATCACCACAAACAACAGAGACCTCCATGTCATTAGAAGAACAACTTGGAAGAAAAAATTAAAAGGCAACTATCCATTAATACATGAACACTACAAGCTATTTAAATTTCTATTTTCTCTTTGGACCGAATTTCATTGTCTTAAGTTATTAAACAACTTCTGCAAACCCACTTATGTCCCAACTATATCCTTCTCTTCTCATCTGACTATCATTTCCTGTCTTCCGAGCAGTCTTAGTTTCTCAATAGAGCTATGAAGTTTCAGTACTCACTTGCTCTGAGGATGTTCTCCTTGCTGCTGCACCTAGACTGGACCTGTAGAGAGAGCACAGACTCTATGAGCTACAGAAGTTAAGAAGAATGCAAAATACAGAGATATAATGGGCAAGCTCCTGGGATCTAAGACAGAGGCTATACATATTTTCAGCAACATTCTTACATACTCTACATGAGATAAGTATATTTAAGCAGAAAGGTAGTAGCTGATGGTCAGAATCTGATACAAGCAATTTGACACCCGCCCCCCCCTCCCCCCGGCAAGAAACAAGATGGCCTAAGGACAGTAAGAGAGTAAAATCAAAGAACACAATGGTTAAAATTACATGTTAAGCTCCAGTTTTAAACAGAAAATCTACATTTTTTTTATACAATTGGAATTACAGTAACTCTGAATCTAGGTCCTGTTTTATGATTAGACAAAATACTAACATAACTGTATTACCATGACCTACTTTAAAATTCTATTATTGATATTTTCAGGTATTATAGAAAGAGTTTAAAATACTCAATTTAGATTGTGTTGATTCTGAAGATATTTAATAAGACTTCTTCACAATTGTATAAGCAACTCACAATTGTATAAACAGCTCCTGGTTGGAGCCAGATAAATTTACTCAGTTGTTTCTGTTTGGTTAAAAGAAATGCTATGTTCAGTATGAACTTTCAGTGCAATTCTACCTTAAAAAGTGAGAATGACAACTGGTTTCTCAACATATCCTCGTCCTAGATGCTTAGCTGCCACTGTGCTATTCCAGATACATTTGTCTGACTCCAGGGAAACTGGAGGATTCACATTGGTCTAATATTCTAGTAACACTGGATATTTAGAGCTCCATCTGTTTACCATGCAGATTTAAAAAAGAATCGTTTTTTGAAGAGTATCCGTCCTGTAAACACAACACAGTTTAAACTTTATCTATACTGAAGCATCAGCTCTTGTTAATTCTTCTCAGGTTTGGAAAGATAGCACATTGTATAACAACACTGAAGTTGCAAGTTTTTAGATGAACTAATTTGAACAGCAGTCTATTTTCTGGCAGGTCAGCTGACTGAACTGGTAACACTTGAATAAAAAGCTTTTTGTGTGGACAAAACCCCAGCTAAAGTAAACTTCACAGGAAGACAAACCTTAGAGAGAGTATGAACGGAATCCTTCTCTTTTTTTACTTTATTGACAAATGTATTGCTAAATTTCAACGAGAGGACTAATAAAGTAAAACCGTGTACACATGGTGAAAGAAGTGGAATAGCACAGGTGACGCTGAAGGGTTTAATTTCATTGCAGAACATTTGTCTCTGCTGAAAAAGCGAAGGAGTGAATCCAGATTATCTTTCAGACTACAGTTTCAATTTGCAGTTACAGAAAAACTGCCTAGAAAATGAGTATGTATGATCTAACAATTGATGAAGAATGGTACACGCTCAACCCCCAAAAAGCTGTCTTCAGAAAAGAACAACCATTTAAGGCTGAAACCAAACGTGCCCCAGCCTCTTTCTTCTGTTCCACAGCAGCTTGCCCCAAATGTATATTCACATACAAAAATTGGATTCTACAGCGCAACACATTCTACTTATTGTAATGGAATAACTTATGGAAAGTAATGTTGCAACTTAGAGTGGGTTATGGTGTCCTTCCCTGAAAAAAACTGTTGTTTAAAAAAAACAAAGCGAAAGAACCCAAACCCTCCCTCCTTCCCACCAAAAATACTATACAAGAAAACTGCAAACAAAATATTAATGATGTCCAAATTTGGCCCAGAGTTGTTTTACCAGATTTCAAAGGCATGACATGAACTTTCTTTGGAAGAAGTAAATATTTACCTATAATTTATGAAAGGACAATTCTGGACCAAAAAGATGGTATAATGGTAGGAAAGAAAGCACAAAAGAGACAGAGGCACAGATTGAGAGAGAGAGAGAAGCAGGATGGACGTGGCAAGGCAGAAGATGGTGTGTGCAAAAGGAGACATGGGCCTATGTGTGTAAGACTACTGTTTAAAATGGAAGAGGCTCTCTTATTTCTCACTGAAAACCATATGAAAAGAGAAAACGAGGAATGGACCTGCTGCAAAATAACCAAGCGATTCAGCAAACTGTGGAATGAAACTCAGTGAGGTAACATAGTCCTAAAGAAAAAGGCAAAAAACCAAAAATACAAAACACAAACATTTGAAACAATCTACTAAAACAAACTAAGTAAAATATGTGATCCAAAGGACACAGATAAAAGCTACTAGAGAAGGAGGAAAAATGTTAGCGGACAAAGACAGTGCTAGAGAAGTAAAATGGAAGTCAAGAGAGAGTCTTCAACAAAGTGGAGGAACAGAAGGAGCCCAAACCCATAGCGCAAAGCAATGTTTGCGAATGGAAAACAGCTCCTTTGAGCAGTAATAGTTACTCTCGAGTTGTAGCCTCTATTCCTCCTCAGTTCATCTTTAAGCCCTTCCAACCTATAGTGGAGCTAGTGTATGGACAAAAACAAGAGATTTATAATGAACAGAGCAGCTGAGATTTGCAGATCAAATCTTCTAATATAAAAAACGTGCTGACAAAGTTTTGCTCTTACAGTGTCCAAATGACAATGGTAACAAAAGACAGCTGGCTTCACACGCAGCCTCTTACAGGTCATTTTTTTAATTCTGTGCACACAGAGGACTTTAAATTTACTTTTTGATTTCTTACACCCAGCCTACAGCTTTCACATTATCACTCACCTGATGGGCAACATATGCAGTATGAGAAATAATTTGCTTCCCACAAATTTTAAAAGCAGCTGTGGAAGAGGAATCCATGATAATAAAATAAAAGGCTTGATCAGCTAGACTTGGTCATTTCCCAACCTATGCTCACAGCTGCAGAATACAAACCATGTTTTAACATAACTGACATCAAAATTAGTTAGTACATAATACTTCTGTTTGTTTAATATGAATTGCACATTGATACCCTAAATGTGATTTTTAAACAAAACTGCAGTAAAATATGATTTTGAATAAAACCCACCAGTTTTCTAACACATAGAGTTTTAGCAGCAAGGGAGCTTTGTATAAATGGGGTCATGTGCTTTAAGTGCCTTTTATCATATTCATTATTTGTATGTTTTACTACTTTGTTATTTGTGACATTTACGAAAAATCTGTATTTTTTCACAGCTACTGCTAAGTAAAGAATCCGTATTACATTGCATATAGTACCACGACTGACTGGGGCGAGTGATTAGTAGTATTATTTACTATAATTCTTCTCATTCACAGGTAGTTACAGAAATAACAACCTATGGCTGTTTCTGCTTTCACAGGGAAAGTATAGATTCATTGTTTGTCCATTCTACAGCCTCTTGGCTCACAGTGTACCTTGGCAGAAGATACAGTGGGCTACCAGCCAGTACCATTCCCCTGCGTAGTTCAGGCAGAATGTAACCAAACCCAAAGCATTCAATTCACATTACTCTGTTTTTTAAGCAAACTGGATTTTATGTTTTTTAAGATATAATTTCATCATGCTGGAATG